AAGATGGGATAGTTGCATTTACCTGCGCACCCACAGGTCTTCTTTACAGAGCCCGATAGGATATGCTACCTGAGTTTAGGCTGTTTCACAACAGTGGGTAGCATTTAATGAATCTGTCAAAAAAGCTGCGATGCTGTTTCAGGGAGAATTGCCTTAGAGGAGTTTCCCAATCACAGTTTCTGCACAGGATTTCTGCACATAGATTTATCTGTAGTAACATCTTCATCCAAATCACACAGCTGGCTATGGCACAGACCATGCAGATATTGCCCTTCGTTAGGCAAGCAATACTTTAAATTAGGTTCGTCTTACATGTCACTCTTTAGATCGCTAAAACCAGGAATAGTAATTTCCTTTTTCGTTATTTATTTCACTATACATATACAAAAATGTGGTACATTTCAGCTTCAGACAAAGGTGGGTATTTGATCACTTTGTAGTAGTGAGATAAATAGAAAAAAAATTCTCAGCAAGAAATGAACTTTCAGCTAAGCAATTCAAATTACAAAAATGATTTTGCAGAGTCCAAATGCAGAACTGAAGTTAACGTAATAGCATCTCTTCAACATTTTGTTGTAAGTGTCTCCAATGCTTGCAGGTAAATGGGTATCTCTCTCTGTAAAACTGTCGTATCTCTTTTTCAAACAAACAGCAGGTAATGTTCACTAATTCACCTGCCAACTCCTGGTCAGACATTAGAAGGGAAATGAGGAGAAAACTTCCATTCCATTCTTATAGCTACTCCTCTGTAGCAAAGCAAGAAAAGCCTCATGCTAAGCTAATAATGTAATCCATTTTTCTCAGCCCAATAAAGTGATAGGGCTAAACCAAGACTGTAGGGATTCAGAAAGAAAAAAACAGCATAAAATGAACTCAAAGGGAGCGTTACATCTCTAGTAGCCCAGAAAACCACCATGCCTTGTCTAGTGCTTTAGTACATGACACAACTCCGAAATTTCTGAGACAAACCTTTGGGAAATGAGAATGAGCAGCCACAAAAGCTTCCTTGAGTTCAGTATCATGTGATGTTCTCAGCCACGTTTGGAAGATTCTCAGAAACAGTTAGTTACTACAGCACTCAAAACTTTTCAGAAACCAAGTTAAAGCTTGCCACGCACAGCCTTCAGAAAAAAATTTCACAGCATGGTGCCTAATTGTAGCATGTATTTCTAGTTTGGTCAGCTTGTTAGACATAGAGATTGGACGTTTTGGCAGCGACCCAGCATAGTATTTCAAGTTTATAGGGCTTAAGTCTATGCTTTGGTGAACTGGAATCTGTCAAAGTAACTACTGCATCATATGAGTAAGCATGTCTCACAATATTAGAAGAGTCTATTTCTAAGTTAAGACTATTTTGTAATAGAACCCCCCTAAAAGAACAGTTCTGTAAAATTAAGTATTTTGTTCATTGCACATAAACTCCCAATTCTAAAAAAGCATGTATTTTCTGGAATGCTGTAGCCATGCGACGCCAGCTGAAGGAGAAGTATGAACTCGCATAGTTATATTTTGGAATGCTCCAAGCCCAAAGTCTTGAAGGAGATCTTCCATATAGAAAGTAAGGAAAGTTCCTATGTGTTTGTTTTCTGTGAGAAATGAAGTCTCAGCATGGTAGAGATATTTGACATATTGTTCTGTTTTGTATTAGTAGGAGCTGGTGAGAAAATTAACCTATCAAAAAGCCAAAAATGCCAGTAGCAACTAACATCAGCTCCCTCGCTCATGACAGACGAATCCTTGGTTTATTGCAAAAGCCTTCCACCATGGCAAATACACCGATGAAAATGAAAAGGCCGTAATTGATTGATATGGGGCTAGGGGCAAATGATACTGTAACAGCAAATGTCTCCAGAGGCTTGCCTTTGAAGTAGGTTAGTCCACCAGTTAAACCAACTTTTTCTTATCATTTTCCCAACTGAGTGTCTGCGATTTTCTCTGAGAACTGCTTGAATTTACTGGAACTGCACAAAGCCCTCCAGATCCATAGGTTCTCCCATCTTTTTTTTTTTTTTTTTTTTTGTTGTTGTTGTTCCACATGCCATAACCCAAAAATTGAAGAAAAATTTCAGAACCATGGAACTGGTCATAAAAGTAAATACTGTAACAGCCCATTCCCCCAACTGAAAAAGCACCTCCTGGAAAAAACTGTGAGATGTGAGGAACTACTTGTAGAATTCACACGCAGATGTCTCCTCGGAAAATTAGAAAAATTTTCTCACTGAAGCTATTTAGCAAAAAAGCACACGTTCCTTTGCAAGGTTCATTTCTATACTTCTGCCTTTGGAAAACAAATGGCATCAAAACATTTTTTTTTTTTGAGAAAAGAGGCTCCTGAAGAATGCAAGCCATAAATGCGCTGCTTCAAAATTTTAAAACATGGCTTTATTCCAGCAGAGGTCCAACAATATCAATGGCTTTCACGACTTCAGTGCTAACCCTGGTAGGAGACAGTTGTTTTAGACAGCAGCAGTACTAAGAGCCATTGCAAGACTGCTGCTACCGTAGCGCATTTAGCTAGAAAAGATCCAAGGGATCAAAAAATGGAATCCTTCTCCAAGCCAGAAGTTCCAACCGATTCTTAAAATGAACCACAAGCTGCACAGTTGAGAATTAATTCAAGATAAGAGGACCCCTCAACTCTATCTCCAACAATTCAGTTTACTTGTCCACAGGCTGGAGAGGAGACTTGTTTTTTCCTAAGCTTATGCTTTTTGGACACATTCCAGGGGAGAAATTGCTGATGCACTCACAGTTATGGAATTTTGCCATCTTCAGTGAAGCTGTGTATATATACGTCATTGGGCAAATTTGGCTAGATGCTAGCAATGCTGAAGCCAGAGCAAAATGTAACTTTCTCATTTGTGTTACCTCTGCAGTAATGACAGTGATTTTACCCAGTTTTAGCACCAAAAGTGTAAAAAGTATTAGGTTTTTGTTTTTTTAACCTGAAACTTGCTAAAGAAATACACCTAGTCTATCATACATAAAACAATTTAATTGTGTGCCTTTTACACACTTTGGAATGTAAGTCTGGAGAGGAATTAATAGACACTGTTGCTTCAAAACATTCAGACATCAAAAAAAAGAGCATAATGTAATGTTTATTTCCAGTCTCCATTATCTCCAGTCCAGCGTTCACCACTTCCCATACATGAAGTACCAGAGGTGCATTCTATGTGCACTCTGCCTCAATTGAAAAGATTTAAAGTTTTATTTATCTAAAGCATTTGATCGAGACTGGCTATTGCTACACAACTATTTACCCAAATCTCTGGCCTCTGTACCAGAAGTGGGAAGAAAAGCACTGAGCGGCCAGCTGAAGAGTTATCAAAAAGCTTCAATTCAAGAACCAGAAATTCCTAAGAAACAACCATGGAAAGAGGAGTGTTGGCTGTAAGATCTTTATTTCTTCCATAAAAGAGGAAGGACTACATCATCTAAGCAGAGAGCTTCCGAATTCTATTAAGCAAGATGGTTCAATCTATATCCACAGTTTTTGGGGGGCAAATATGTCTTGCCCCAAACAGCAACCATAAAGACAAGCTGTTGAAAACTGGTCACATTTTGCACTCCTTCAGAAACCAAAAGGAAAGGGGAAAACAAAACAAACCCCCAACTTACTCACGTGCTAGGGTGGAAGTATAAAAATGTCAATTATTTAAACACAGTACTTCTCCAGAGGAACGTGCTTGCAGAAACAAAAGCAATGCCTGTGCAGTAAGTATCTTTTCAATGTCACTTTAAAAGCTATACAATCCTATCTGGATATGCAAAAGCTAATAATGCCAGAGGATAGAGAAAGCAAGTAGGCAGCCCACCATTCTGTGGCATTAGAAAGTGATTAAATGAAATTCACAAATGGTTTAGTGACATTTCTGATAGACTAATCACATAGCATTGCTCTAAATAGAGAAACAGACCCATTATCAAAACATTCCCTTTAAAAAACTTGTATCTCAGTGGAGTACTTAATGTATTTATTGTGTGAAGATAATGGCTTCTCACTTCAGATTTAGAAGAACATGGATGAAAAGAGGGCTTCCCACAGCTGTATGCACTAGCAAGAACTAGTACAAAACCCATTCTTTGCTTTAAGTCTCCATGTTTTGGAAAAAAGGAAAACTAACTGTTGACCCAATCTATAAGCTCATCTTAAAATCAGCCTGTACTTTAAAAAAAAGAATTATCTTCTGTTAAACGGCAGAGTGTTCAGCTACACCAACCACTCACTTGAAGCAAAACTTAATTATTTTCTGACAGATTGGTTAAAATTGGCCAGGTAAATCAGAGCTGAAAGCTCAAATACTTTTCAGAAGCCATATACAGCAGGATGCATTGCTTCTCACTATTACCTATAAGTTCAGTTCCCCCAACCTCCAACATGACCCTGCCAAAGCATGGTTGTTTCTCGTCGTGGCTACTGCATTATCAGGACTTTTTATACAGAGACAATACAATGCTAATCAATACAAGTACTTTGCTCATTTTTTAAATTCAGGAAGTTGCCTTCTCCATGGCAGGTGCTCTATTTCAGACAGCCACACTGATGAAAACATCTCTATATGGCAGATGCCAAAAAATTTTAAAAAAAAAAAAATCAAATCAAGCTGACTGGCACTCAAACTGTCACAAACACATTCAGGATATTTCTAGCTAAATCCAGTGCATAATTCACAGTCATCTTAGAAAGACTTAACCTTTATTTGCCCATTTATTTCAGTCCACGCTTACCCCCCCCCCCCCCCCCTTTTCTCAGTACACTAGCTGGATCACAAAACAGATTTCTCCACAAACAGTTCAGCCAAGAAGAATCTTTTTGGGCTGGTCATCCACTTTGGAGCTGTATTGTACAATACAGTTGTAAGCAAATTCTGAATTCAAAGCATGGGGTTTTGATATTTGAAAACCACACTAATATTGTATACAGAAACTGGCGTTCAGCAGTATTGCCTTTTCAAACATTTTCAATTGCAAACTCATCTATTTTCACAATCAGAACATTTTTGTCTGAAAAGTTTATTTTAGTTTTCTGAACACTCTAAAGCAACTGTGCTTTTGATGTTACACAAGTGTCCAGATAGGATTAACAAAAATTAAAATGTTCTAAATTACAAATTTAATTCCTGTAAGAGCTTGAGAAAGGAAATAGAACAGAAAAGCATGACATACACACATTGTGAAGAAACCCCAACTTTTCATGCAATGGCAGGCAAGATGTAAAAAGCCACCCAAATTCACACATTTTTACACCGAATCATCAGAAAAGTACTCTGTAGTAAATCTGTACATCCAAATACATTTGGGATCTACACCTAAGTTACATTATTTAATGTTATATACACTTATTACCCCTTGTATAATGTCTAAAGGAAAGTCTTCATTCAAACCCAAACAAAAAAAAAAAGCAAGACTAACTTGGAAAAAAAGGAGAATCACTTTAGACATTCAGTTAAAATGTTGGTTTTGTTTTAATCTAGACCTCAAAGTGTTCATTAAAAAACAAACAATCCTCTTCATTTAACATTTTGCTTTCTAACTGTACAGTAAATTGCATTGCAGAGAACACATCCCGTCTTCAGACTGTATTTTCTTTGGATGGATTTAAGATGTAGCTGGATATTACTTTAAAGATAAATAAAGGGAAGTTGGTCCAACTAGAACAATAGCTGATATATTACATGCATACGGGTTTTTTATATATTTTTAAATTATTTTTTAAACAAATGAGTGTAGGGTATAGTTGATATCGCAAATAAACCAAAAAGCACCTGGAGTCAAAATATAAAACATACCTCCTATCCTGGCAATGGCAGTAAAAATCAGAAGAGTAATCTTTCTGGAACAGCATTTTTACATAATTTAGAAATGTTAAGTACCAGGAAGACTACTAATCAAGTAGTTTTAGCAGCCAAGTTTCCCTCTTTTTATTGAATGGAACAAATGCTTTAAATAAACCGTTTGTCCTCTTCACTGAAGAGAGCTAGTCTATTCATCTTTAATGAGCTAGGTTTTTTGTTTTTTGTTTTTTGGTTTTTTTTTTTGGGGGGGAAGATTAGCCACGTACTGTAGTAATGCCTACTGCATATAATCCAAGCATTTGCTGTGAACAGTTGGAGAAAGCAGTCAGTAAGAACCTAGGATCAATGAAATAGATGTTACTTTAAGCCATCCACAAAATGGAGACCCATATAGTGCCCAGTGTTAAAACCCAAATCTCTTCTCGCGCTTTTTGTTGTGCAAGTTCATCCCCATGAAAACAGGAACTGATCCATAGTTCAATTTTCTTATTTCCTTAGTCAATTTTCACATTAGTGTAGATTTTACGAACAAAGGCACTTGTTCCCATGTAACCAATAGCTCCTGCAAAATAAACCAAAAACGTTGAATATGTTAGAGAGCTGATCATCAAAATAAGCCAGCAATATAAAACACCCACACTTAAACAGAAAGTCACATAAAGCATGCACTCTGCACACAGAAAATTATTTACCTGCAATACTTGTTCTCAAACTCTAATTATCCATGCTCCCAGTGAACGTCTGGCAAGAACTCCTCTAGTCTAGCAATCTAAATCCATTAAGCCATCTTACCAAGAGGCCATGCTCACTTGGCCTCGATAAATATAGCAGCCCCCCTACCGCTGCCAATAACTGGGTCCCTTTTTCTGAACAGAGGGTAAAAAACATACAATCACCCACTCTGCAGGGAAGGTGGATGGGAGGGCAGGTTTTTATTATAAGTTACATGCCTTCTGGATGAGTGTTTTATTGGCAGATGGCTTTTTCCTTCCCACAAGGTACAAATAATAATAGATCCCCATCCCAGGAGTCTTAAACTCCAAGGAGGTCTGTACAAAGAGATTAAACTAGTAGCAGTTAGTAGTTAAAGGAAATTGCAACCTGTGGTTTTCAAATTAGTAAGAGTCATGAGCAGAGTATGCATTGTCATAGCAGTAATAAAAGAACAGGTCACTGAGTTTTTGATAGGGGCAACAGTTTATGCTAAACCCAAAATACTGCAGGACTAAGAACACCTAGAAAAATGAAAGAAATGCACTGGACCAAGACCTCTTCTGAGAAAGAGATTCAGCAACCTACGTGGTCAAACCCAGAACCTCAGGTTTGCCAGACTCAGTAGGTAGGATATCCGCAGGGAATACCCCAGTGCTTCTCCTTAATCTCTTCCAAGCAAAATGAGTGTAAATCAGCCTTGTGGAAGTCAGTTTGGCTAACTCTCAGGTTAGAAGTGAAGTTGAAAAATCAAGCAAGAATTGGAGACAACTGCTGTCAGACTGCCAGAATAACACATCATAAAATATGGGAAGAAAAGGATAGAGAAGTGAGGGCCTATAACTCAGTACAGGTAAGAGAAGTCCTAACATCAAACACTTGGATGCTCAGTAAAGAACAGACTCTAAACAGGTATTTTTGCCTCCCTGAAGCAATAAAGAAAAGCCCAGAACAAAGCATGAAACAACATTTTCAGTGATCTGGGATGCACCAGACTTGCCTAAGACGTGTTAAATACAAAAGCCTAACCAGCGGTAAAAAATTTCTGCCAAAACTTCATTTTTCAATAAAAATATGAAGTTTTTTTGCCTTTAGAAATTAAGGCCGTCCATACCTGCAGCTAGCATTGCTGACCACAGATTTATTCAGAACCTGGAGAATTCTTTAAATCCTGGGGACTGCTCAGATAATTCATGAGGTCAGCCATTAAACTCTCACAGAATTTTGTTTTTTAGACCCCCAAAAGCCCAACATTCATATCTAATGAGGAAATCTGCACAAGGCAAACCTGATGCATCTTTCCAATGCTATTGGAGTAGTAAAGAGCCTGTGGAGTCAGTCTCTGTGTTGCATAGCATTTCAAGCTGTATAAATATAATGACAACCACTGCACTGGCCAGCAAATGCGGGATTTGTATTGCTAACTCGGACAAAGTAGAATTCCATTAAAACAAATGCAGCACACACAAGATCAGGTTGCTGCTTGCAAGCGTTAAGTGTGCTGAGGACGCAGCAGAGAGAAGGCCTGGCAGTTCAAGGAGAGACCAGTACAGCATTCTGACAGACCCAAGCACGGGCTATGCAGAGGAGGTGACATGAGCTTAGAGTCATACGGGAGCACAAGCGGATTTTTCTGTAGCCCGTCAAGAAACTAATCTTCTGTCTTATGCAGTAAATCGACAAAATAATGGGACTGGACTCCTGTTTTAAGAATCATCACGTTTTGCCTGTTAAAGCAGACACTGCCAACAGAACCAACGCCCATTTTAGTTGCTGAACTCAGATACATTCCAGAACTTGTTCTTTGAGGGTTTCTCTAGTGATGTGATGCCAGATATTACAGAGATTTGGGAGAACAAAGCACTAATTGTGTTTTGTTTGGGGTCTAGAGAATGTGTGCATGAGATGGAAGTGAGGGGGAGGAGTAGTAGCAGTCACATGAGACCACAAACTCTCAGCCCCATAAACAAATCCTAACCTATTCTGAATCACAGGAGCCTTATCCGTGAAGGCCACTAATGGCCAATACCCAAGGCAGGGGTTAAGCCTCAAGGCTACTTCACAGGCATTGAATAAAACATGGGGCGGAGAGGGGGAAACCCTAGACAATGATGATTAAAGAATATCCTCCTGAAACAAATGCAGGACAGTTGGCTCATTTGAATAAAAAATCCATAGTAAAGGGAATGACTTTATTTATTTATTATAAATATTATCTGATAAGGTATTTAACTTGGTTATGGCCTATATAGGTTTAGCAGAAATAGACTGCAAGCATATTTCAGCAGAACAAGCAACTTTTAAATAAAGAGAAAAATCCAAATAGTGAGGAATAGCAACCACAAAACAGAAAAAGATTAATTCCCATCTATTACTTCAAATCAATTAACATGACTACTGTTGTGACTTTGTAAGCACAGAATTTTTTTAAAAAGCCCTTCAATCATACTTACAGTATTTATCTGGATGCTGAAGTGTGGTATTGCAAGAGGCCTTTCTATACTACCTAGCTCCTAAACCATCCACTGAGTTGGGGAACAAGTTTTATTCTTTTCCATCACTAAGAGGGAAGCACGAGGAGCTCAAAAGATTTGGAAGTTCTCATGGGCTCCCTACTGTCCAGTCCCAGAACTTAGATGCTCTGCAGAGGGCAGCAGACTTTGTGGATCAAAGCATCCCACCACATGTGGGATCTGAGTTCACTAGGCATTGTCAGGGGCACTAAAAACAGAGTTGGATGATACAAGCCTACAGAGAGTTTCCCTGTGGCTGCTTTGGACCCTAACTAGCTCGTCTCATACCCAACTGTGTGATACTGAACACGCTCATTCGCATGAGCATCCAAAGCACAGCTCTACCCACTTTTCACAGGAGACGTACAGTCAGTAGCACACACACTGCACAATTCTCTAACACAAATGTCTTTGTTAGACCTCAATGGCAGCAAGTTCCCTAGACAAATGCTTTTTGACAGGGGATTTTTTTTTTCTTCCCTCCACATGCTGCAAATGGGAGTTCTCAGTAATCTCACAGCTTCTCTTCCAACACGGTTAAAAAGACAAAAAGAAAAATCTCAATAGAGCTGTGGAAATAAAGTTTAATGCGTTAAAGTACTTTCTGATTTTGAATAAATTTGGATTTTACTCTAATATTCCATCAAGTAGTGTCCTACCATGACAAGAAAGCATTTGACAATCTTCCTTTTCCATGTTTTAGAAACATTTTAATTACAGGAACTGGTGGGCAAGCTTGGCTTCTGCATCATAGACACTTTAATCAATACCAGCCTGAGCACTTTAAAAAGAAAAGATTAGAGCTGAAAAGTATAAGCCTGTTAAAGAAAAAAAATGGCTGCAAGACCACCAGAACAGCAGGGAAGTCTTGTAATGTGCCAAGAACCTGATGAAGCAAGATTAGATTGTATGAGAGAAAAGGGGAACAGGTACTCAGTAGTTAAGAGATGATTTTCCTCCCTTTTTTATAAAGCGTTGTGAAATTACCCACCCTCCTATCAAGAAATGTATACTTTACAGAAAGTAAGTTGCTGTAAGACATCAAGTATCTCAAATATCTAACTCAAAGAAATCCTCCCATTAGAGTCTATAGGACTATTCATTCACTACTGAGGAGAAAAGTATTAAATAAGGATCATGCATAAAAAGCAGATAACATCATAGGAAAGTGCAAAAGAACCAAGTAACACTTTCTGAAAGTCATAAAGCAAAGGATAAAAACAAAGCTAAGAGGTGAACAAGTATATTTGACTTTATCAGATGATGTCCATGCTGAGAACTATGTTTTTTTCTAAACATTTGTCAAAATAACATCTTAAAAAGCAATGAAATCCAGCTCCACACAGGAGCACTCTGCACTCTCCTCACCTGTGAATATTCCAATACTGATTTCTCAAATGCTGTCCTGAAGTGTCAGCCCTTTCTGTTCTGGTCACCCTCATATCCACATGCCACAAGACACAGATGGTAGCGTCATCAGTATTGCGATACCATTGATACCTCAATGGGTGTACCTAGCTTCTTGTCTTGGGGCAACAGTAAAAACTCCGAAACAAAATGCTAGCATGGACTCAACTTAATTTGGAATTTATTTTGCAGAATTTCTTGCCAAATATTGAGTCTTTCAAGCTTGCACTGAGTGTGAAATTCTCTGCACAGTACATAAATTATCTTCCTATCAGGAGACACAATCCACAGAAATCTCCTATATTAGGTAGGAACCAAGTATAAGCAGAGAACTCTTAAGATTCTTTTTAAAGATTGTAAGTTTTTATGAGCAGATCTTGCAGACATACACGCTCCACCACCAAAACCACACAGCTAAAATCAGAAACACGACAGTCTGAAAAATTCTGATAGAAAACTGTCAATATATTTGAAACTTACCACACATTATTCCCAAAGCTGTGCTAAATACTGCCATATAACCAAAGTAAAATGACGTTTGAAACAGGCCATACATCCTGAAAAAGAAAGATAGGAATTTATGCTAGGTATTTTCCCCAGTTTTTCTCAATAAACTTATTTGGCAATACCATAATCTGATATTGAAGCAAGAAAACTACCACTTACTTTGTCTTGAAAAAGTAGTAGTAAAAGGAGTACATGTAAACATAAATCGCAGTTGATGCCGCAGAAAGAAAGCTTGTCCATTGCCTGAAAGTAAACATGCATGTCCATCATGTATCCAACCAAAAGGCTTCCCAAGCAGATGCACAATGCACTAAAACCTTACCCTGAAAATAAAGCGTACTGGTTCTACAGACTTATTCAAAAAAGTCTACATGTTGTCTGCTGTAAGTGACAAAAGCTTCTATGGCAACAGCTACCACTGACACCAAGTGATGATCCTTCTTCATATTCCTGTGTGCCTTGACTTTTTTTTTTATACATACATACATGCACACACAGATGCACATACACACAGAAAGCTCTTGTACAGAAAGGATCCAAGAACTGCTTTTATTCCCTACAGCTAAAATCTGGACATGGGACACTTTGAAAAGACCCACCGAGACTGAAGAACATCACTTTTCTATAAAACTCTCACGTTCTGGTTAACTATGCAAATAATGCGATACTTACCACCTGTAATCCTCTGCGTTTAGCAGGAAATACGTACAAACAATAGTCACACAAACTGTCACAATGCAGAGGATAACCAGAACCAACATCATAAAGCCATAAACATAGTAGATCTTGTAAGCCCAGAATGAAGTAAAAATGAAATACCTGAAGAGAGTAAACAAAATATGCAGATGATATTGTAATTGAACTTAAATTATTATACTTTTTAACCAAATTGGCAAATAGCTGACATACTCACATTTCAATAAAAATTGATCCAAAAGGGAGGATTCCACCTAGGCAAACAATAACAGCTGGTTCCATGAACCTGAAAGATATTAAGATTAGTTTAGGGACAATTTTAATCTTTCATTTATAAACATATTGAGACATATAACCAGATAATTAATATAGCACAGAGAATTATTTAAAAGGCATGCTAACAAGAACATTTCTGTCTCATATCAGCATATTAGAAAGAAGATTCCCCTAAGGTGTCATGTGTATGGATAGAAGGAGGAGTTATTCTTGGGGAAAGCTGAAACAAAACATAAGGCTTATGCCTATCACCTACAGGCATAAGGTTAGGCATCTAACCAGCCTTCAAGGCTACAGAAAGAATCTCTCTTGCCCAAAAAGGGCCTAAGCAATGAAGCCCCATAACATCCACTAGCCTTGAACGAAGGCAGTGGAAACTCAATGCTGTTGATGGCCACAAATACAGCAAAAAGCGCAAAGAAAATTTCACAGGGTAATGGTTACATAATTAAGAACCAGGATTTATTTTTAATGCTATACTGAGTCATGAGCCTATGGCCAAAAATGAATGCTCAGCTACCTGTAGATGATACTGTCACTTACTAAAGGTGACCTCTGTGTAGTACTTGCAATGACGCTGAATCTAGCTAGTAACCAGTGATTTAATTTGCAGCTTCTTTTATTATTTATAGGGAGACTTGTCTAAGTTGACGGTGTGCAATTTCATCATCTTCAAGAGAAGTATCTTATTTCTTTCTATCTGTCATGCTGATCCAGAAAAATCCATCAGATTCCCAAGATACAGGTCACAATATAAATCAAATCCTAGCATCTGAGCTGCACAAACTGCCACTAACAAGAGGCTAAGTGTGCTGCACTTCCTGGATATCGTGGGCGTACACATTTCAGTGCCCCCTTCACTTTGTTCCACTCCTCTGAGCAGGGAAAGCAAGAAAAATCTATTAAAAAAATCCTCTGAGGATATTTTAATTTCCATAGCTTGCTGCTTCCATCTCAGAATTAAATTAATAGGAAAAAGCGGCTGCATTCATGATTTTCCAAAAACCCAAGTCTACTTTTTCAGACTAGGCACCCACCCCTTTATATTAACTTCAAAAATAATAAAGGCTTATTCGCAATTCAAAACGTATACCTGGAGTATTTTAGGCTCTGTGCCATCAACAAAAGCACAGAATTTGGAACAGCATTGCAAGCTTCTCCCCACCATCACCCTGCAAATATGTCTCAGCTTATACATAGAGACCATTAAACAGAACAGTTCTGTCTCCAAGGCATATTCAATCCCAAATCTGCAAGAGGCATTAACTAAAGAGGAGAGGTTTAGTTTCAAGATACCTATACAAGAACTGGGTTGGGACCATCCCTTTTACATAAGAGTCTGAGAGCATTTCAGGCCAAATGTGAATCAGTGATCCAGGACTGTAAAACCTGCTACAACTATTAACCATTAACTGCACTTGGTGTTTTTATTCAACAGAAAAACCATATTAAGGAAATGTCAGTAGAGGTGTCCTTCTAGACACAACTCAATTTAAATAAAAAAAGTTATTATAAAAAAAATTTTAATGATCACATCTAAAAATAATTTTAAATGTACTGAAGGGAACACATCTAGTTAACATGCATGCTTGTCTTTACCATTTTTTCTCTGGTATGGGACGAGGCACTGCATTGACACGACATGGAAAATTAGGCTGTCCTGACAGATTTCGGCCAAGAATTGTACCAACGAGGTTCAATGGAAGAATGACAAAGAAACAAATACAGCACACTGCCACCTGTAAGCAAAATATAATTTAAAAAGAACAGGTATAAGAGGACAAAAGAAGATACCAACCCACTCCTAGTCCTTAGTAGTTATTGCTGTAGAATCATACTCCTAGTTATGAAGCATTCAACAATATACATCTATTTTATCAAATGGAAGTATTTATTTCCTGAGAAACTTCCTAATAAACATTATTACATATATTTTCTTGCATCAATTGAGAGAACAGAACTATTACAGATTTTTTTACTCTTTTCATCTATCATTATACTCAATACATTGCAAAGAAATGAAATGGAAATCTTCATGGTACTTCATCACAGAAAATTTTGTCAGCTTCTCTTAAACTTTTGCAGAGTATGCTATCCCTGGGAGTTAACATCTGGCAGTTAGGCAGTTGCATACAAAACTACAATTGCTGGATACAAAATTTTTAATCCAATATAAAAAAGAAACCTAAACAAGAATTGCAAAGCCATGTCAGAATGCTACCAATCCAAATTTTGGGTTTAATTTTCTCCACTATCCACCAACCAGGTAATTAAGAACACAGACTGCAAAAGACATAAGAGACCACTGCCTTTTAAAAGCACTGTTGCCTGAGGCTCTGTGTACACCCTGGTGTCTCCTGAGCAAAGAAGCTATATTCCTCTTTCACTCATCAGGATGGGTCCATGGCAGCAGATTAATCCAAAACAATGGACAGAGGACGAGGTCTAAGAGCCACACACTGACTTGTTTAAGAGGCAGTTACTCCAGGATAAAGGCTGTTCACCTATGTTATATCTATGGAAATCTACTGCAAGCAGCTGACAAGCAAGAACCACTGGGCTTCATGAGATGAGAAGCTGCACTACATTAGCTCAATACAAACTTAGCATTAAGTCAATCATATGAGTTTAAGGCAACATCTAACAAAAGTCAGTGCGTTATCCCTCTCTTACTGACTTGCATACCATTACTAGCTTAGGCCAGATGTGAACAGAAAACGTTGCCTGGGGTTGGATGGAGCAAGCCTTCATGCTCCACAGAAGGGGTACACCAAACAGGTGGTCAACAACCAGAAGCACTGTCCAGACTGCTTTGTATATCTTTGAGGAGAGGTTATTAAAAAATTACATCATGAGCCACTAAAATATGAAGCTTCAATGGTAAATAAGGAAAAGCTAAGTAGTATTTATATTTGCCAGTAATAAAGCAGATTTTAAACAAGTAATACATCTTTAGTATCTCCCATTTATCTTCCATTACTGGAAAAAACACAGGTAATCGGGCATAGTGTCTTAGGTAGGACACTGAGGTTGCCTAAGAATAAATTACAGGAGAAGTATACAACTAACTCACTTAACAGATGCAGGTTCTGCACTTGAAACTGCTCAGTCTAAAGAATGAGCAGATGAGAATTTTCAGAGAAGAATGTCAAAAAGTATCAGAAACATCAAAGAACATCGTGAGTCCTATACTTACTAAAGTCCTGACCAAAAAGTCCCAGCTTGTTTGAAGTGCAGTGGGTAGAAGAGACGTTCAAGAATTAAGGCTTGGACAGGATCCAAAGAATTTCCAATTGACCATATTGAAACCATTTCCAAGAAGAGCTTGCTCTGCTTCCTGCCTGCGCAAGGACCTCCAGGTGTGTTGGGTGGCCCCTGTCCATGGTGCTCTGTGGTGCTCTGGCAGGTAGGTTTCAAACCTGGCTAAGGCAGGAAGCTCAGGCACAGAAAGTGTGAAAGGGCATCTATATTGCTCATCCAGCCACAACCGTCTTTTACAGTGCAGTTATTGAGCTGCCTGTAGCTCCGTTTCTTGATCTCAGAAATTACTGCTGACTGGGAATACTGGTAGAAAGTGAATCCACTGCTTTACTGCAGAAAGAAACTGTCCAGGAACAGCCTTGGGTTCCAAGCTCACCTGGAACAAAACTTGGTAGCTTGTAATTGTCCATCTGGCAAAACACATCTACCATAGGGAATCCACATGGAAAGAATATAACCTTGCACAAGGAACCAAGCAAGGAACATCCAGGCCTAATTACTGATTAGCTGGCAAACTCCTAGATGAAAAAAGACAGTCAGTGGCATCTCCTTCTAGTGACACCAACTGCAGAGCTGAATGGCTTCAAATCAGGTGGGCAAGGAGAAGGTCCAACTTGTTCTCGCAGGGCTTGGCAGTTGTGTTGTCCGGGAGACTGACGCAGCAGCAGCTTTGAAATCTAAAATGTTTATCTGCACAAAACAAGCTGAGACAGACCAAAGTTTCTTGAATAATGGCTTCAGTAAGTACTGCCAACCTGTTCCCAGTACACTTGTAACTGGCATCCATCAGAAAATCTGAGTGCTTGTGGTTTCATTATCAGATCAGTCAAGCCATGATTGAAAATGTTGTAACATCTCCCATTCTATTAACCATTTGGCTGAAAAATGAAATTATTTCAGACAGAACAGCTAGCATCTTCAGTGAAATCTAGTAAGCAGTATCAAGTAAAGTCAATGTTTTGTTAAACAATATCTTAATGCTATGCTATGTTCTGAGGACAGCTGGAATTGAAGTGCATTTTTTCCTTTTTTCCTGGAGCCGTTCAAGAGTCTAAAAATTATCTGACATGATTTTGCAGTGCAAAGGATGCAAGCAAGTATGGACCATAGTGCAGGCTCAGGAATGTCTCCCACTTCCACCTGCCTCTGATAAGCTGTCCAAGCTGATAAAGACATGAATGGTCTGTCTTCTGAGATAACCCCACCCTGGTAACAGCAACCTGCTGGTCGTCTTAGTAGGTTGACCAACACAACCAGCGCTGGTTAGAATCGGCACACACTGTGCTGACCTCAGTAGCATCTTCTTTCTTGCTTTCAACTCACAGCCCGACTCCAAAGTAGTCTACCTGCTCAGACTGATGCTTGTTGAAAATTACTTTCTTCATTCTTGGCAGTAATAGTTGTCTCTGGATGTGAGAGATGACTGGACCTAACTGGCTTTTCAGGCATGTTCCTCTTAATTTCAGATCTGAGGTGAAGACAGTGCCTCCCTCCCAAACCGTACAGGTAGTGCCTGTTGCCACAGATGGCAAGGGCAGTGATGATGCAGGCTGGGCAATGCCTAAATCTAGAGTTTAAATCCAAACTGAAGCAAACACAGGGCACTAGGGTACATAAGTGTCTTAACTGAAAAAGAGATGAAGTTATGAGATTTCTGCCTCAAAGGTTTCAGAGAATGAGATTACAATGGCGAAAGCAGCTCAGGCACTTACTGGCCTCCATTTCACCATCACAAATGGTAAGAAGAAACAAAGGCAGGATCAACACACATACGTGCTCTGCCCTCTCACAGAAGCACCTCCCTACAGAGGTTAGTGGTAACATACTAAAAAAAACAAAACCCCAACAATAGCTGTTGCATGACAGGCAGAGGTAAGAAAGTTAGGTCTTAGTGAGCCTTTTAAGAGAAGTATTACTGTAACATCAGCCAAGAGAAATTCAGAGAGCAGTTTTAACTACCACTTCAGAAAACACAAGTTATGCAAACAGGCAAATCTACTACATCTACAAACCCAGTTTTCCATCAAGCAAACAAGCACGTGCTCTCCATAATCCATGTTACTGAAGACAAATTACATGAGTTTTTCTACCAAGCCAGTACATTAAAACGTACCTATTTCATTTTGACTGTTCCATTTTTGTGGAACAAAATATCTTATTTATACACGAGCATCTGATTTAATTTGCAGGTTTTAGTTGCCATAGAAGAGATCATCAACCTCATCAAGTCTGCATTCTTTCTAACCCCATTTTGTTTTGTTTTGATGGAGAAAGAACATTCTACTGCCCTTGACTGAACGTGCAGGACTCAGTTTTTCTTATTTGAAAGGAAACATTGTCAAGAGGGATATAATTTATGTTCTAGTGCCATGTGTTTCATATTTTCTGACAACTGTAGATTAAGCTTCATTCAAAGGTGATAATTAAAATTTTTATGAGCATATCTAATATTAAACAGCTGCTGGCAGGCTGTGGTGCCTTGACTGCTTAATGCATAAGGGAGAAAAGCAATAAAAATTAACTGTCAAAGCAGCAGCTTGATCTTTCCTGTCAGCTACCAAAACTGCACTCTTAGTCATGAGACTTTCCCCCCATACAGACGTTACTGAATCTGTACAGTTGAACAGTTTTCTGCACATCATCTGCCCAAACATGACACAGAACATGAAAAGAATAGAAGGCTTCAAAATGAAGTGTTATTAATTTTATTACAACTAAGTTAATCTAGGGTGCTGCTTTGGGTAATAAATTGAACTGTTGAAAATTTAAGCATTAAGCTGTGTCTATTTGCAGCAAAAATGAGGTTTTTGACCAAGGGTTCCACAGTCACTTTCAAGCAACCTGAGGAAGCACCCTGCTGAATGCATATAACTAGATTTTTTTCTATTTTTAGCCAGGTGTATTTCCTTATCTGCCTCAAGGCATGAAAATCTTTGGTGCTACCAGGTCCTCCTTTTTCAGTGGCAGCCAATACTCATATCAACTTAAAGCTGTCAGGGATGGCTGCAGTGTGGATTGAGCTATCTGTTGGAGGAAACACTTTTTTCTAGTTTAAACAAGGTATAAAAGATGCAAACACTAGGATCTCGATCCCAAGAGAAATTCAGTGCGCGTAACCTTATTTAATTAAATCATTAAAAATGCATGCTGGAAACGTTAGCCACACAGGAACCTACTGCTCAAACAAAACAAAAATGGTACATCTTAAACAGTTTAATAGAAGCTGCATGGATTCTGCAGTCCGAATATTACATTAGTCACAGCAGCCTTAATGGAAATCTGTAAATTATGTATCACACACAGAACAACGTAAGCAGTCACAACTTATCAAATGCCAGAATTAAGATGGTCCCTTCAAATTCAATCATGCTGTACTCTGTAGAAATTCTGCATTACTTAGCAAGTATTTCTGCATAGAACTACCACCACACTCCTCAAACATAAACGGAGAGGTCACTTCACTTGCCATTATTTAAACTTCTTTTTAATTGCTCCACGCTCTGTTTTTTGCATATAATTCAAACACAACAAAATAGAAAGATGATTGATAAATACACTGAAAAGACTGACAAAAATCAATGGAACGTAAGTCAAGGTGTACAACACCTTCAGAAGAACTCTATGTTCACCAGTAACAGGATATAATAAAGAAAATACCCCAAAAAATCAAATTTGGGCTCCAAAAGAACAAAGACTTGAACAGTACCCACTGCATTTCTATAAAGGTGAAGAGATGAGAGAAAAAATCCAGACTTTTATATTTCCTTCATATGCTTAGGGAGTTGGAAGCTTTAAACCGTTAAGTTATAAAAAAGCTCTCATATTTGAAAAAAATCTGTCACATTCTTTATTGCATTCTGAAGGGAAAGATATCCCAGGGAAGAGATTAAGCCTTTTTTCAGGCTCATGGTGTATTTCACTACAGAAGGTTTGTCACAGTATAGGTAGATGGCTTGCATGTATATGCAAAACGGCTAAAGGCAGAGTCCCAAGACTGAAGAATGATTTCAGAAACAAGCTTTGGATCTTCCCAGTCCCTACCACATCTTCGAGGAGATCCCAGACATCAGGAATGAGACATACAAGGAGAACAAAGCTTTGAGGTTCAGAATAGACTGCAATGACAGTGAGGTGTATGAAGGTCCTGAAGAGCTGAATCAATTTGAGCATTTCAAGACAAAATGTGGGAGAGCAGATACCAGGTAGATCAAAGATGCAGCAACTGTGCATTAGCTTGGATGTCTTGGCTTTGACACTATCAGCTGCCCTTGCCTACATTCCATAGAAAAATCTGTCTGGAGGGAGAAATTAAGTCACAGAGAGTAGACTACCTACCAGTTCACTGGCAATGCAAAATGGGCAAAGCACAGAACATCATATTTAAGCATAGTCTCTTAGCAGAGACTCTTTTAGCTCAGAGACTTTTTTTAGCAACTCCGTTTCTGCTTTTTCCAGATTTACAGTAGTCAAGAAGAGGTGGTAATTCTTGCCAGCAATTTAAATCAAGGAGGGTGGTTTCAAGACATGCCAGGGTAAAGGACATAATTTCTGTGTTCTAGTACATTTAGATGGCAGAGGTTTTATTTCCCCAAGAAAGCCGCAACTGCAAGTTTGCACTAGAGAATTCTGGAAGCTTCTCTACACTGAAAACAAAGGTGGAAAGACACAAAGGTATCCTATCCATAAAGCCAGAGGGCTTCCCGGGGACTTCAACTTGAAGCATAACATGGTATTTTCAAACAATTTTCATCTCCTTCTACAAACCAGCTTCATTAGTTGATCTGAAGTCATTAGACCGTTGCTTATTCTGATGAAGTTTCCGATTCATAACCTGCTCCTACTAAAAGTCTGCTAACTCCACTGAAGTTTTATTGCCACAGTCATAAGAATTCAAACACGTTCATAAAACCTTGAGATCATTAAAATCCCTGTGTATAAAGAGCCCTAACATCCTGATTAAGTGACCCCTGAAGATTTATATTCCCATTTGCTTTTGCATGTACATGTTTCCATGATCTTAAAATACAAATCAGTTGAACAGATTTAAAGACAACTTCAGCACAGGTGGATTTCCCTTCCCTCAGCATTCCTGACCTCTAAATGGGAATACAATTGAGAAATGTGATATCATAAATGCTTGCTCAGCAGTAAAACAGAGCCTCTTTCCACATATCAAAGATCAATGTTGTAAACTTTTCTGACAGTATTGTATATGGCTGCTAGCTTAGGAAAGAAAAACCAATACAATATTCCTTTGGGGCACTGACTGACTAATGCAAACATATCCAAAGATAGAATTTTAGTCTAATTTCTTGAAGAAAAAAACCTGAAAAATTAAGCAAACAGTTTATAAACATGTTTAGCTTGATATTATATTTAGTGGTTTTATAACAACGAATTCAATGTAAAAAGTTGGTATTTAGGCATGCATTGAAAATACTACTAATGAGGTGACTAGAACCAGCAATGTACATGTAAAGTAATGACTCCTCCATCAGCAGAAAATTACTCATTAACAATGTGTTCTTAAGAAGTATTTTTAGTCATATACTGAATTTGATTATATCCCAAATAATACAATTTATAAGACAGAACTTGTAATACTAAGCTTCACTTTGTGGTAGATTTAAACTAAGAAGAAATCCAAGGCTACTCAAACATTTCTGAATAGACTGAACAATTTAACACATCACAAAAACTGATACGCAAAGAAGGGAGCTATAAAAAAAGGTTAAATCCCAAGATTTGCTACAGATACTGAAAAGAAAACAAGTCTTCATGTATTAAGACTTTTTTTTAAGTTAACGTGCTACTGCATAAAATTAGAAAAAAGCAATTTTATGGTGCATATTTCAAAAAATTCTGCTCTCAAATAATACCCCTTGCAAGCTCAAACAGAAATTCTGCCGAAGTGCCAAGTGATTATTTCCTACGTTGTATTCACAGGGTTATTTCAGGTTACTTGAAAGGGCTATGACAACAAACAAAATCCTGACAAAAGCCACGAGAAACAAGAAAACTCATCATTATTAATGAGAAAGTACTCCAACCAGCATTGTTTTTCAAGTGACATGGTTAATACACAAACACAAGACCATAACGGGACACTAAATACCACTTCACAAAGTAAAAACAGTGATTTGTTTTCATAAAGCCAGATGAACTCAGGACGTCTCATCTCACATTGCTGGCTGATCTTTTATTTTTATTTTTTCTGCTTGACTGCAATGATTTGGAAGTAGCTTTCACTTGGAATCCTTCTGTATTGCATTTTAGCTTATAACCAGTTCACATTGGCCATCCAGAAGAAAATTCAAGTTGCTAACTTCCCATGTTGTTGTAACACTAAGCTTGAATACAAAGCAGTGCCATTTTAAGCAGAGAGAAGACTGTTGTTGGCATCCAGCAGCTGTTGCTATTGTGATTAAAAAGAATTATACTTGAAGCACCTTAAAACCCACCCAGAATAAATCTCTAACTAGGAAGCTAAAGCTATGACTCACAACTGTATTTAGACTAAAAGGTAGTTTTCCTGTGTCTACAGTGGTGTTTAAATTCTCCAGTAAAATGACTCACCATGGTTCCAAAGGGTATAGCTCTTGAAGCATGATAATAGATGGCAATGAAGTTAATGAAGAAGGCAGTTCCACACACCATTGCTGGAATAAGGAAGGCTCCAATGAACATCTGCTTTATCCATCGCCTTCCTGTAAGAAGGGACATTCCAATGGGACTTGGTGAGATACAGTGTATTTCGTTTAAAAAGTTATCAGCAAGCCTCCAGAATTTAGGTGTTTGACGACTTATCCCCCAGAAAAGTGAAAGAATTAAGTAACAACATACTACATCGATACAAGAGCCAACAGTCAACTAACAGTTTTATCTGACTCCTGGCAACTCACAAGTGGCAGCATATTAATCAATTTATTAGGCCAGGTGAAAAGAGAGGAAAAGAGATACAGCGTGAGAACATTTCGGCTGAAGAACAGCATATGCTGACTAAGCTGGCCAAAGAAACCGGGGTATGAAACCTAAGTGTATATGTAAGCTGCAGATTAGTAGAGACAGAGCTGGCCCTGTGCAGAGCCTGCTCACACCCTGAGAGCACATGAGAGCTCAGCGCTGCTCCAAGGACAACTCAGCACTACGGCTGCTTTCAGGCAGCACCTGCTCCGGGTTGTCTTTACCCAACTAAGCTGACTCTATACATTCAGGATGCATTAAGGAACTGGCTATCCCTGGTATAAAGCAAAATGCCACAGCATTTAATATACAGCAAAACTGAACTCAGGTATCTTCAACAGCAGAAAAGGTAGAAGGAAAGCGATTTCTAAACCCCAGGCATAAAGCAAACAGCAACATTTGTTAGCAGTTATTACTAAGTTTAGAGATCCCCGAGGAGCTCAAAAAAACCCTCTTCGGACATACCTTAAGAATTTCCACTGCCTGTATTCCCTTCACTTTCTATGCTCTTAAATACTGTCTATATTTAAATTTAATACACCATACATGAATCTGTAACATGCACTAAATAAAAAACAGTCAGAAAACTAGCACATGCTTTTCAGGACCATCGTACGTATTTTCACCATGGGCCTACATAATCAGCATTTCACAGTTTGATACATGTTTGATCTGTAGAAAAAAATGCAAATCTGGCTCTACTATACAGCACGGTACATTTTAGAACAGAAACCCTAATTTATCTAGATCTGTTTTTCTACAAATCGCTGGGTTTATACACAAGCCACATGAAAGAAACATCTAACCGCCAAACTCAGAGTAGATTAGAGTGCAGTTGAGACTGAATACTAACAAGTATGTCGTGCTAAAAAGATACAAATCTTCTTTTGCGAACTTACCAGAATTATTTTTCCTAAAGCACTATAGAAGATAATAGATCTTGATTACTCTTTTATTGCAGCATAGGGAATGGATGAAGCTAGTGGACTGCAAGGATGTAATTGGTCGTAATTCAGAAGCATAGTGGGGAGGCACTTGAAGACAGCCTTTCCAAATCTGTTATGTCAATTTTATTGGGCTTCGGCTCTCTACTGATACTCATTTTGAATTTGCTAAGTATAAAGCAGAGCACATACTGAAAAGTAGAATAACCTTCTTTAATAGATGCTATAAACGGTTTTCTCCATCCACAATTAATGGTCTAGTAAGTACTGTATACTCATCCTTTCCATGTTAGTAAATATAGCCCTCCCAGTACCTATAGAGGAGGGCTACATAGGAGTCATCTGGAAAAGATGACATGAACTGTTAACAGCGTGTAACAGAAGAGGGAGAGACTATTATACTCTCTGGATGTCATGAGCCAAACAGTTATATACAAGAGTATAACTAGTAATTCATAAGATACAACTGTTAACAGTTATTTAGTTCTTACTACTTTTAAATTAACCAAAGACTTCAGCTATCTTTAGTTAGAAAATGCAGTCAATACTGAATAGGACATAATATGAAAGTTAAATATACTCAAAATATTTTCTGTTTATTAAGATTTTAATGGATTCCACCTGAATGGCCTAACTCCATTAGGACACTTCTATATTGGTGCAAATAAAAAAATAACAACTTCTCCATTTAACAATGTAATGAGAATGCTGAAACATGAAAACAATTTACCTCCTTGTCTAGCATAAAGGCTTCCTCCAAAATATCCATTCACTGGTGATGTTGCAGCATAAACAAATATAGCTGTACTAAGCATTGAGCCTCTCCTACAAGAAGTGATTTTTTTGGTAAATGGAATAGAAAAAACAAACAGTATTAGATCAAAAGATTACAGTAAAATATGTACATTTAGCAGAAGCAGTTATTTAATATTTTTAGGTAATATAAAAATTTAAAAGTGTTTAAATTGTAAAATCTGCATAAGAATGAGAACTGTTTGTATCCAAAGCTTCTGGCCAAGTCTAATTCAATCTGGGAAAAAGAGTTCCGACATACTACATTCTTTTCTAACGTGCATTTATTTTCGCTGGAGTACAAAATCTCACCTCTGACATTTGGATGTGTGTACCTTGTATATAAAGAACTGAACTACTTACATGACATACATTAAGTGTAAGATTCAACTATTGCAGATAAAAGGTACTCTGCTTAATATAAAGGCCAGTATTAACAAAAATATACGAAGATTGTGAATGATGCTTCTGCCATCCCTCAGGAATTAACTTTTAAGATCGAAAATGATCATCTTAGAGAAAATTAGAAGACCTGATTTAGAAACTATAAATACTATAATGAAGCCACAAATCAGCATGGAATAGTCGAATCACAAGAGTTTAGTCATTTTTAAATTATCTCCTCATTAAATGTTGAAGTACTCATTTTGGCATAATTTTCTGAAATTTTACAGGCAAAGCTAATAATTTTAGATCACAAAAGCCATCTCCAAATACATTTTTAAAAATCATGTCTAAGAATAGCAAGATATAAATGTTATTAATGAATAGAGCTGTATCCCCATGTCCCTCTGCTACTCTTCGACAGCAAAAAGCAGTAGAAGGTTTTCAGCCAGCTTGCTGCACTTTCTTCAAATTAGTTTTTCTGAGAGATTCCAGACTATTGGCATTTTGGCTTTTAATGAACCATTACTGGATGCCTGGCCTACTCAAATCAGTAATCTTTAGTACAACCGGCTTCCATGACTCCATGGATTGAACTAAGCAAATACACCTGCTGGTCACAGACACTAAAAGGAGTCTTATACTAACATTTGCTTCTTAGAAAATATAAGCAATAGTTCCATTTTAGAAAACTACTGGTTAGACAGAAACCAATTTTAACACTTCTCCTAACTTAAGCCAATTTAGAAACACATGCAAAACCCCAGAAGACCATGCACAGTCTGAAGCGACACATGTAAATCCAGGCTACCTGTAAAATGACCAGCAGATATTCATCTAAAATTATCTCTAAAATTTCCTATTCTCAAGCTTACTTATGTACTTATGTTTCAAATATTCTAATGGAAAAGCTTCTCAAAACAAAAACCAGTATTAAATTAATAGATGACATGACCAAATTTCACTGAGAGACTTCTAGTTGGCATCAGCTGCATGATCCCTAAGAGTTTTAGCAGACCTGAAGACACTGACAGGCAATCATTCTTGTAATTCTGGTTTTACAGCCTTTTTCACTCACATCATTATTTTCCTAAACGTGAGAATTGTCTGCATTAGATTTAGTCAATTGTTCCATTACACACCCAGAATTAAATTCACTTTGAAAGTGATATAAAGGCTTATCGCAATAAAAGACTAAGTGCACATATATTTTTAAAAATTACTGTTCTGACACATTTTACAACGACCATTATTAACTTACAGCATCCCTACAGTGCACAAACATTCTGAAATGGTTTCATTCCCTCCCTTAAAGGGCTGACATGCTGTACAATTAAAAACGTGTATGTCAGTCTATCCAGAAATGTAACCATGGGACACAAGGGGGAATAACACCATATGAAAAATGAAAATATGCCAAGATACTGGTACTACAGAGTGGCTTTTTAAACACACCATTAAAAGACAGCTAAATTAAAAAACAAGAGTTCTCTCTAGTGGCACATTAGAAGTATTACAACTTGTTAAAATCAATAGTTACAGGTGATATTCAAGGGAAAATAGAATAGAGATTTAAAATTTTAGTCATTGCTTAAAACAAAGCACTTGTAAAAGAAAAAAAACCAAAACATTCCCCCTAGCATCCAAAATCACAATCACTACAGAAACATTTGAAGTCCATCCAGGACACCAAAAACCTCAAACAGATAAAAGCTAAAGGAAGAAAACTAGGTGAACCACAAGTGGTGAGTTAAATTTAAACTGCCGTACTATTTGTTTGTTTTAAATTAATTCTCTCCAGTCAGGACCACAGTCCACCTATTGCTGGAGGTTTTACATGCAACACAGGCTGAGCAGTATCTGTTCAAAAGAACTTAAGAAATTAAATCTCCATTCCTGAGAAGACTTGTGGACAAGATTGGCTTAATGCATTGTCAGCAGTAAACAGCACTATTCACAACATAGCACACTCCTACTTCAGTCTTTACAGGACACGGCAGGGAAAACAAGGTAAGAAATACAGTAATATCTTGTCACTCCAGACAAAACCAGGAGTGATATATGTATGTTTTAACATTTACTTCCCATATACTCTACCCGTGATGCTGCAGAACAAACTAGTTTCATAATAAATCAAGTAAAAAGCAAGCATTAAAAGAATAAAATTAAAGGAGACCAACTCACATGGTAAGAGTAGGACAAAGTTTCGTTACAACTTAAAAGAGCTCTTCTGAATACTACAACTGATCTAAAGATAAAGACTAAAGACTCTCACACACTTTTTTCCAGGCCAGTTAGAACATTCATTTTTGTAATTATTTTGTTCATTTAAGCATTTATATGCGGAAGGCATGGCACAATTATACTTACTCTGTGTATAAATCTTCTATCATTGCAACAATAATGACGATAAGAGACACAGCAAAAATTTGACAACCAGAACCAATAAGCGATGAAAATATTAGAGGATGACTGGATGGTCTAAAAACATCTCCATGGACCTGCTTCCACCCGTACTCATCACCTAGATCTCTGTCCTATGAACAACAACAAAAAAAATTTTAAGTCTAGTCATGACAATTAATGACAAACATACAAGCTAGGCATAAATTAAAGGTTTGATTTATTAAAGCAACTTCGAGTGCAAGTATGTCTTTTCTCCTGAATGCATCAAATCTAGAAGAAAAGTTTACTTTTCAGATGCTTATGAAGACAACAAAAAATACTATCTGAATGTATGATGCAGTAAAATCTATCAGATTCCCTCCCTGTCCTTAAAATCCTCTGAATTGCTTAGGCTTCTATCACACACTCAGAATAGACCTCGTTTAACCTAAGTGTGGATATGAACATTAACACAGTAACTACAGACAGAATTCTGGGTTGCAACCTAGGAGCATGTTATAAAGAAAACCAGTAACACTTTCAAGACACACATAAGGCAGTTTTCTGTCCGATTGAAGAAAGCCATTGAGAGCTGCTAACACAATGAATGTATGAAGAGAAAACAATAAGCCTTAAAAAAAGATTTAAAAAAGCATGAATGCCGATCTTACCATATCATCCATTTCTTCCTCCTTGCTGTATCTTGCATAATCTTTTCGCAAAGTTCTCATTAGTATCATAGACACTAGGCCAACCAGAAAGATCACCATCATAAAAGAATTGAAAATTGAAAACCAGTGAATCTACAAAAAGAAAACACATCCCTAAAGTTTAGAACTGTAAATGTGTTTCAAATTTGTTCCAATAGGATAAATCGTTGCCTAGCAGGACAGCTTGTCAGCACTAGCTAAGTAACAATAAACCCATATTGTAACTAACACTACATTTGTAGAAAGTCCCACTAAAACTGGCCTGGGAAACACCATGCATAAAGCTTTTCAACAGCCAAGCTTGCTCATGACGAAGTTATCACAGCTTAAGTTAAGCACCAGCAAAGTTCAAACAACTGGCTGTCCCTTGGTAAAGGCAAGGCAACATGATGTACTGCTGCCTTCCTAGAGAAGAGGTTTAAAAGAGACATTCAGAGTCAAAAAGCCAAAGGAACCATTGCTTTGCACAGGACCAAAATGTGCAGCAGCATTATTTTGCCTCTGACAAGCACATCTTCTGGTTTTCACTGAGCTCCAAACAGAATCCAAAACCTCTAATTTCAGAAAGTAGTATAGCTCAGCATACTACCCTTAAGGAGATTACAACCACAGGTTTAAACCATCACAACTGATATTGCCAACTGGTTTAGGCTAATGCTTTTTGCTTTGCATTTACGTCAGTAAAAAGCATACATATGATGACCAATTGCAACTTTTCAGCTTACAAGTCGCACAGTTGTGTCCCTGAAACTTCATTGCTTCTGATCGTGTGAATGTATTTTCTTGAACTGCCTTGTATTTGCTGCAGGCTTGAAGCTTGCCTGCACATTTACTGAAGCACTCTAAAAAACTGGAGCCATCCTATTTGAGCAACAGAACTATCACTTAAAACCTACAGTCCTAGACCTGCCCGTTTCATTGTCCCAGAACATCTGGGACATGCAAAAATTCAAAGATGTCATCCAAAAATTCCACAACATCTTCTGAACTAAAGCAACCATTTCAAAGGGATATTTTGTAAGATTGTCTTAGAACAATACATACTCTGTGCTGAAAGAAAGATGGGTCAAGATACTTGTCAAATCGGTCTTCAAACTTCACATCTGATTTCTTCCATTTCACCTAAAGAGAGAAAAATTTACACTTGAAAAGCTCATTATAATATGTTCAGCTATACTCACATGGAGAAACCCAAAACACATTTTAGAAGTCATCCACTTCAGATGTTTTCTTCAATATGAATCTAGGTTTTCGTAAAAACAAGGGACTGATGTTCTTAAAAACTGATATCTACAGGTCAGACGTAGAATGAACATCAGCCACCTTGCCACCTTGCCTCATGGATCTAATCTTGTCTACGCTTATGTTTAAGAACAAGGAAGAATCCGTCTTGCACTGCCTCAGCTCTCACTGTCTCTGTGATACTAACCAGACACGAACTTCTAGTTGTCAAATACAACAAACCCTTTTCATGATTATATTCATATCATAACGATACTCATACTGACAGTGCCAAAACCCAAATCCATCAAATGACCCTATTTTTCAGTTTTGTCAAACGAATAGTTCAAAGATGATGTTGTTCTCCCCACAGCAGATAGTCGTAAAATGATGAGGCAATACTTTTGAAAAATCCTCCCAGATTTGCCCAAAATTTCAGAACAAAGGTTAGAGAAAGAAAGCATGTTTAAATATATTCAAGAATGACGTGCTAGAAAGCAGTGGAATTTTTCTCAAGATTTTTTTTTGCTGACAGCACACTCCCTTTTCTCAACATTTCCATGTGCTGCGTTGTATGAAGAGAGGCTTGTGGAGAACATTACCAGTGTTCACTGAGCGATGACAACATCGTCTACTTCTGCTCCCCCAACAGCAGCTGAGATCTGTTTTGCTGCCATGCACTGAGACCGGTAGGCAGTGAAATCATCTGTACCTAAATTCTCTGAACACAGTGCCCAAGAAAAAAGATGCGGTCTAGCAGAAGTGAGGGAAATCAGAAGATAGAAAAGCAGATTTAAAACAGATGCCAATAGGAAAGAAAAGGGCATAAACCGAGATGCAAGCTGGCTGGAGGGGAACTGGAGGAAAGGGATCAAGCTGGACCCTAAAAGACAGACATTAAAATCTTAAGAGCTACAAGCTAAAAGCTGCAACCTAAAATCTGTAAGACCACAGGATTCTGCAATCTAGGCACTTCAATTGCCAATAAATAACACTAAAACCAGCTGGAAAAGTATGCGTTTATTGCCATACTATTACATGGTAGCAGCATATTACTGCTATCAGTTACTCCACTAGGTGCACAGAGGACTGCTTTGGATTTGGAAAATTTAATCGTACTAATGAACTATATGGTGCTAACATGGTAGCACAAACTGTTTTTCAGAATTTTTGCAAGATTGTTTTTGTTTTAATTTTTAAATGCAATTTCAGAAATTAAACACAAATCTACACTAATTTTTTTTCAAAAGCATGCCAAGATTAGGAAATATCAGGGCTTTTAGTGATCTTGAAACAAATGCAGCCCCCTTGTGCATATCTTTTTAAAATACATGACAAGGAACTATCCTTTCCAACAGATATTCTCTTATTCAGTATAGAAGAAAGCATATAAATGTAGATTGAATACCCCTATCACTCACCACAGTCCTGAGACAGATTAAAAACCCCAAGACTCAAGTATTACTCACTTTAAGGTATGATACTAATGTTCTTCAGTTCAAATTACAACCTTGTTCAACATTAGTAGCTCAAAACACTAGTAGCTTTCAAGATTGTTTTAAGCAGATACATTTCTCATTAGAGCATCTGCCACTAAGAAGCACTGCTTAGAACACACCACCAGAGACAATCTGTGAATTAAACACGCCAGCCCCGTGATGCCAACAGAATTGGATAGGTAAGTCTTGAGCTCTGTATACTAAAAGTATTTTAGGGGAACATCTAATGTTATTTTCATTACTGACAGCTACTCAGTGCTGTCCATCTCTAAATTCACAGAGCAAATGCACTTCATAATGCTGGTGGAATTTGAAAATTTCAAAATTTCTACTATCAATTTTGCAGTAGAAATAGGGAGATTAGTGTAAATGTAATTCTAGAAAGCACATATAAAAACCAATTATCTGCACTTCAAACTGTACAACTCATTCAGCACAAGACAAATGTAATAGTGGCAAGAATACCCTCTGAAATAAAATATTATGCTGACACCTACTGCTAACACATTGTAGAAAAGCAATGCATTAAGAACTAGTTTCAGTATACAAATGTGGTGAACAGGAGAAGTGAACCATTACAGATTTAGGTAACATCAAATAAATAAGGAGGAAAACTGAAAAATTTAATTCATTATCTCAGATTAGCAAACATTGTTTATTCATTACCTTTTATCATAGCAATTCAATGTAACAGCAGAGGACTTCAGAGAAAACCTTACTAATAAGGTTATATAAATAAGACAAATTTCTACTGGAATTGCAAAAACAAAATAAGCTTTGATACTAAGTGCTTGCACAGTATGAAGGCTAGCAGTGGGGTTTGGTCCTAGCACAGAATCCAGTGCAAATCTATGATGTGAATGTCAGAGCTCCAAACATTAAGAAAATGCATACCTACTGGGGGGGTCCTCTATACTTCTAGTCTCCATACCTTTTGGGACATCTTCCTTTCCCACCACAACACTTTTCTGCAGATTATAGAAGCTTCAGTTTGTTTGAAGTGTTTCAAAAATCATCATTTTACATTTATTCTTAATAAACCTATCAAGGCTTTTCAGTAATGAAAAAAAAATATTTGAAGGAGTGAAGATGCATCTTTCTCTAATATAGCCTGATGTATCAATACATAGTTGTAGGTATACCAGTACCTATTTTTGAGCTATTTCACCATGTAGAATTTCTTATTACAGATGCATCACCAAATTACTTACTGAATATGACATCTGGATTTTTGTGTTTGGTACCAATTTCACCTTTCCTTCACTGGTCAGATTGACATCTACAATTCTATTTCCATTGTAACCAATTTCAAGTTTTTTGTAAGTCCAAAGGTAATAATCTTCTCCATTTTCATCTGCTTCTCCAACAATACCTGCATAGGAAACAAATGTAAGCATCTATTACAGGTATGCTTTTCAAATATTATGTTATTAATTTTTTTAAAATATACATTACAAAAGTTTTGCCAGCTAAAAAGGCAACATAACTACAGTAAAGACAACACAGCAGACCTCATGCTCTTCTTTTCAACTGTAATACCTGGATTACATCTTCAACGCACAGGTATCTGCCAAGAAGCATTTTGTAATGGCATTAAAAGAAAAAAGCATGCAGCTACAAACACTGCAGAAGAAACAGAAGACACAACAACAGTTCCTCTAATTTTATTTTGCATTCTTACGATAAACAACTAGCTGAATACAGATTTAATTTCTGTGAACAGACCTTAGACAAGACCTCTGTATTTTCCCATCTCCCGTCTACCCCTTCACTCATTTTTCTTCTTCTTAAAAATTTTACTTTCATTCTGTATTCTTCATTAGTTGACTCCCCAACACATACTTTTTGCTCTCATTTGCACAGAAGCTTCCAATGTTTGCCAAGAATAATAGTTTTTGACTACTGTCTCTGTTACTTTCACTGAAAAATTCAGAAAGTTATCATTTACTTGAAGATTTTTATTACCTCCAACATGGAAAGCTGCTCAGATGCTCCTGGAGCATCAGAACTCAACTGAACTCAATATTAGCCATGATTAAGTTCTTACTTTTCAATAAATTTCTGCAAAATGTCTAATCTACTACAGAAAAATTCCAGAGAATGTACTATGCTGGGGGGAAAAAAAAAGTCAAGTCTAGCAGTCACCAAGTTCAGAGGCTACAAGCGTCATCTTCAATGTCAAGAACATCATACCAAAGATCACCTACAAGATGGAAAACCACAATAAATGCAGCACTCAAGACATACAAAGGTGGGGGGGAGTGGGAAAACAAGTAGGTGAAGGATATAGAACACGTTATCACGAAGCAGCAAGTATATGAAGGAATGGCACTTGTGCATTACCTGTGCTTTTTAATTTTCACGGTGGTATTTTTCTGTCATGTTTTTTACTCATGCTCATCTGTCAGGATTGCCTTGTATATGCCATCCACATGAAACATGTGCCAGTTTGTGCCTATGCCATACAGCCTAGCACCTGGCATACCATCTGTTCCCATGGTAGTATCCAAAACCATGACAATACAGACCTCTAAACTACTTAAAGGACATTCTGATCAATCACTACCTGAAGGAGTGAACTAACACAGTGCTCCATATACTTAGGGAGATGTCCTGAAACACAGACAGTCAAGCCTAACCACTCCACTGTGGGGTAGCAATTCAGGAAAAAACAGAAAATGGAATCATTTTATCTGAATGCACTTAAAAAGATCTGGTTGCCTTTTTCAGGTCAGAAAATAAAGTGTAAACCTTCCAAAACCCTCAAACAGCAGTTTGAAGTCACTACCTTTAGTCATCAGCAGTTAAGAAAAGTTATTTTATGCCTAGTCTTTACTGAAAATAGAGTACTCCTTACTGGATATTTTGAGGACTTCTTAAGCAGAATTTCAAATATTAATGGTTGTGTGTATGACACCAGAAAGCCTTGCCAAGGTGGAAAACCACGAAGAACATAAAACATGAACTTAACTAAAGTTTGCCAGGAGACAGGAGGAGTGGCACAAATCCATCTGGATGAGCCCAGAGAAGTGAGTGGTCTGCTTTAAGAACAGAATTAAACAGAAGTTGCCTAGAATTCTCAGCAAACATTAACACCACCTGAATCCTTTTCTTTTAAATTCTTCAGAGAATACCTACTTTCTTTTGATAGCACAAAAAAAAGGACTCTAGCCATTTATATTTAGGGAACAAAATTTTGGTTTAATCTGGCTACAAGATACAAATCAACAATGAAAAAAAGAGTGGGTTGGGTGATACAGTACAGACAATACATGCTGGCTAGCAGGGTTCTCAGAAAAGGTAATCCAAATGAAGTGGATCAACATGATAGCCTTCAAATAGTAACAAAAAAGCCATTTCAGCATGAGATATTTTTAATGCAAGCTGAGGGTAACCTGTTCTGGACACTATCTTAATAAAACAAAAAAGACTTCTCAGTATTCAGAGTATTTCAGAGGTGCCATCATAATTACTAAAGTTCGTACCCCTATGTATTTTAAGCAGTCCTGATAGTAGATAATGTTTTTCATTACAGTTACTGAAATTAACAGCTATGCGATGACATTCAATCGAGCAAAAGATATTAGTTTTCCTTGGTATCTCTACCACCACATTACGTGGTACTAGTCAAGTCTATACAACGCAGTCAAAGACACCAACAAGCTGGTGGAGCCATGTGTACTGTATCAGTTATGCCATATTCGTAACAGAAATATATATAACAAAAACTGTTCAGTGAGCAGCAAGTCTCAGAGCTTTAAGTTTTAGGCAGCATTCAGAGCCTGAAATATTCCTATTGTTGAACAGTGACCCATCAAAACCAGAATTAATGCAGATAAGCTATATTCACAGTTTTCTAAATTGTACTTGGAACCCAAAGATCAGAAAGACTTGTTCAGACTTACAGATAAACACTTCTGATCAGTTCAGGTGTATCCATTCCTTTCTCAGCCCCCCATGAAGAACTGATTAATTTTTTGGAATAAAAGCCAGGGTAATATTGACTGACCAATCTGCAATCCTGCTAGTTATACCTAGCCCTCAGGAGACACAGGCCAAAATCTTCAGCACCGCTTGCTTTCACACCTGATGTCAGATTATATCCTTGCATAATAGTACCAGTACTTACGATGCTGCTGTCATCTATTAAGTATCACAACTTGAGGTCCTGGTTCCAAACAACTACCAAAACCAGCTTCTTAATGTCATATGAAGATGATACCTAGATTCTGCATGTTTGTTAGCTGTAGCATTAGGAATGACTTCTTGCGCATACAAAGCATACTATGGAAGAACATTAAAAACACTGGAATGCAGTAAAACAGATTTTTCAGCTGAGAGCATAAAATTTAGTCAGCGTGTAGAAGATTTAGTAAGTATTTGCTCTTCAGTATTTGAAGTGAGAAAAAATATTCCCAAATAAGATCAGAAAAATCAGTCCTAAAAAAGAAAATCTCCAAGACTCACTAGCCATACAGGATTGCAAAGAAGTCAGCTTAGCATCCATCATCCTTGGGCAGTCTAAAGCCTACATAGCTGCCACTAGTCTAGGAAAATCATTCACTGATCTTCTGCTGAAAGGCGAAAAGCATTAAAAATATTGTAGCAATAACTGTCACTCATGGATGTTTTAAAAAGCCTACCAGCAATTGTGCAAGAAGAATCGTAAAAGCCACACAGATTAATTAGGGTCTACTCCAAGCCCTGCCACAGAGCTGTTACACACACTAAGCAAATCAGCTGAAAAGAACAAATACAATATATGAGTACTTCTCCTGTCAGGCATTATAACGTTATCTCTTAAAAACAGATACATTAAAAAAAGCAAGAGCCCTCCTGGCTAGCAGATAAATAATAAATAAATAAAACACTAGGCTGGGGCTCATGTTTCAACAGCTAGCTACTTTATAAAAACAATTAAAATTATAAGAAAGAGATAAAAAAGGTGTATGTCAGAATGAATGAATGATGGGTAACATTATTCAGAATACCATCTATCAAAGAACTTCTGTCATGTGGCTTGAAACGTATTTTTGTAGGTGTTGCGAGGTTTTGTTTATGTTGGGGTTTTTTACCTCTTTCTCAGAACACAGGCAACAAAGACCTTACCTTACAAAGTATTTTGTGGTGCTTTTCCTTTCCCTTCAGTTTACATCTACAACAGGGAGATTAGGGCTTGGGGAGTTTGACTGATTGCTATCAATGCAAAATGTAATCTGCAGAGCACTCTTTACTAGGTATGTGATCACAGGTTACAAGGGAGTGACAAAACACAGAGCTTAGGAGACAATGGCAATAAGGACACAAATTTTGATTCAAGACACAAGTACGTCTAAGCCCAGATTAATAACACTCAGCAAGTGCAATTTTAAGAACTGTATAAGAACAAACAAAATAAAACTATTTCATATAACCACAGACTGCGCATGCAAAACTGTTTAAAAGTTACTAAATTACCATAAAAATAAACCAAACAACTCTTGTGTTATTCATAAACACAAGAACTAGCAAAATAAAGCTAAAACATTGAAAGAGTTATACAAAAAACTGTTATTCATGAACACATTAACACGGATCTTATATCTGACCTAATTACCACTTACTTGAACATTTAAAAGAATTTAACCCTAAGAACTTAGTATTATTACATCAGTGCTTGAGAAACAAAAGAGCTTTTCATTGTTGTTGTAGTTCACTAGTATAAGCCATCCAACTGTACTTTCAATGCAATAATCCTTCAACTTATTTGTATTATTTGGTTACGTAAGTTCTACATACTTGTGAGATTCTCATAATGAAGTTTAATCATTAAATTACTTCATGAACCCCACTAGCACAGGACTCCCGTAGTTGTAATCAATTTGTTTATGCATAGTATCACTCACCCCATATCGGCAAGTCATCAATATACATCTGGTACCAATAGTGATTTTTGATAGCATAAACAAATGCATCTCTTCTGCCTTTGTCCAAGTCAATTTCACAGTAAGTAGTCTGCATTACATCGTCTGCAAAAAATTAAAGCACAGTTAATGATTTATTAATGAGCTGGCTCAAAGCAAGGCAAACCAAGCAAATGAAGGAATGGACATTGCTGGAGTCTTTAACCCCCTCCTGGCTATCCTCAAGTAGGTAACAAAAAAGGACATTTAAAAAAGAACCATTAAAGCAATTACATGATTGTTTTTGTAGTTCTAACTTTCCACCTGCAGAAGTTGCCCACAGACTGGATAAGGAAAGGTTTCAAAGTATCCTTTTGTGGCTTCACCCACACTAAATTGAGATCCATTTGCTGATGGCAGCTTTACCTGGACAGATCATGAGACCTCTTTAACAAGAGGTATGAAATTATTAACAAATACCTAAAACTGTGTACGATATTATCTCTCCATTTTAGTATAATAAGGCTCACTGACTAGCAATACTGTTTGTAAAAACGAAAACTTTTTAAAGTTCTCAGCAATTTTCAAGAAACTACCATAAAGGAAGAAACAAAGCAATCGTGGTAAAGGTAGAGAAAAAGGACAGAAGACAAAAATAGGAATAACGCAAAGAATGCGCAAGAGGCTGCATTTGGAAATAAAATAAATCCACCTCTTTGAGCCAGAAAGCTATTTTTCCCCATCTACAATTCATAAGTAATGCAGTTAGCAGCCGTTTTTTCACAGCCCAATTTCCTTCCCTAATGTTTCCTTTTCAAATGAAACAAGACAAAAGAGCTCATATTTACAAGAATTCCGGCAGCAACAGATTTAGAGACAAAAAAATCTATTTGCTTCTTAGTGAATGTTTTCACTCTGCAAATATGTGAAACAAAGTGAACGTAAATAATTCCAGCTCCCCCTCCCTCCTCTTTTTGTCATCACTGGAATCAAGGACCCATTTCTAGTAGATAAAATTAATTTGTGCCCCAAGTACAGCTCTAATCTGTATCAAAATTCAGCTTACTTTCTCCTATACACTAACGGCAATATAAAGCTTAGAAAGAAAATCAAATCATCTGCACAAAAAAAGCACCAGCAAGTAGAATATTTCTAACACACAACATTATTTCTCTGATAATGACAATTTGTCAAAATGAAAATATGCACAGTATGCCTGGTCAAGCAAAACTGAAGCAAAGCCTGGTGAAGCAAGACAGTAAGAACCAGCCAAGAGCAGTCCTGCATAGTTGCAGTGATTTCCTGTAGTCCTAGAGAAAATAGTGCCCCTGGCTATTCTGGAATGGATGCATCTTTCTCCTATTTCTTACAAAAACTTTAGTATTTTCTATTTTTGTTTCTTCCAAGACCTAATGAATGCACTCTAAGCTTCATTTTTTCACTGGGGGGGGAGGGAATCATTTTTATGATTATTAGGCAATAAACCTTTTGCTGGGACAAAAGAGAAAAACAAAACCATTCAAGTCAACGACTGTCCCAACAAGACTTTTAGACAACTCCAGGACCCGAACTGGTACATTCAGGAGAGGGAAGCTGTCAAAGCTGGCACCACAGCTGAAACACAGACTTACAAATTCAGGCCTCATTTATGACTACTGAGCTGGATCCTATACTTTTTGGACTATGTTCCCCAAAAAAATGCCTCTGCTTGGCACTTTTTCACTTTAACAGATTTTTTTGAGTCATCTTGACATTAATTAAAAGGAAAAAAAAAAAAAAAATCAGAATCCCTATCTTCTGGATTTGTTGCTAAGTAGGGACTAATTCTTTCCAAAATACTTGGCACTTTATTGTCATTCTTTAGCAGTTTCATACTATATTCAAACAAAGGATAACGTCTTTCTAATGTTAAATTTTTTAACTCACAAGGCTTTCAGACCCCTGAAATAGCTCTCTCTCCAGTGACTGTTCCTGATTGATAGATTTGTATAAGGCTGAGTTTCTGATTAGTTCTGAGATACGAATGCTTCAAAATGTAGGAAAAAAAAAAAAAAAAAAAAAAGGACTTTGAAATATCATTTGAAGTTAAATGACTGTACTGACATCCAACCAGGCTGCAGATAGCAGCATGCCACCAAAAAACTGTCTTCATCCATTTTTATGCGATTTTACTCCCGGTATTCAGAACGCCAAAAGACATCACAGTGATATTACAATCAACTGTGGATCAACTATGTTACGAGTTACTCCAGTGCACATACACAAAACCCCAGCAGAATCATTAGAAACAACCTCATTCAATTCTTGCAAAACATAGGTGTGACTTTACATATGGTATGTGATTTCACTGTCAGCCATACTACACAGTACTGTTCCCCTCACCTTCCCCTAAAACAAGTGAATGAAGGCAAGAGGAATGAAGACAAGTGCTCCTTTCTCCAGCTACTGAGAACGGTGAAGCTGTCGTTTAGTTACAGGACAGCATTAGATGGTTAAGCTTAAGTCCACTGTGTTAAATGATTACGTGAAAGCAGTTCAGAAGAACATTCAGTGGCTGGGGAAGCTGAAGTCTACTTCCCTACAGCTTTACCAGATCTAAAGTTTTGCATATGTTAGTGCTTATCCAAGTTATGGTTGTGTGTGCATCCAAGAGGACTGTGAAGTCAGAGGTATATTTTGTGTTGTGTCTACATCAGGGACGTAAAAGAGGTAACATCTGCTATATAATACAGCTTCAGTAACGTCAATAGCACATTAAGCAAATTTTAAAAGGGCATGAAAGCAAGACTGATTACAAAAGCAGGTGTGCTTATGCCAGATTTCAAATTTCCTATGAAGTCAGATCAATCGGGTTTTATTCAAACATATAAACCATAACCATATAAAACCTCATTATATTTGACCATCTCCTAGTACAACACTGAACATCATCCTGAATGGCTGCCATATTTTCTAAAGGTGTTGTAGAAGGAAGTCTTGGGCAAGGAGTTCTCGCTTAGAAGTATGGTCAGTTAATAACATTTCTAAATAAGCCCAAAATTCAAGTATGTTAAAAAACCCTTTTCCCCTTTAAATTCATATTCTCTAATTGGTATTGTATGGCAATGTCAAAAATTAATTTTCTCATTGAAGTCGCTACGATCCAAATGTTCAATACATTTAATAATTCACTAGGTCTCAGATGTAATGTAGAAGATGTCAATTCAAATTCTTGAATAAAGAACTTGACATACTACATAAAAAGCATTATTACTCTAAATTTAGCTTGACAAGAGAATTAAGCCAACTGAAAACCTAAAGTCATATTATAATATAAGTGTATGTTAATAATCCATTACTTTCTTCACAAAGATATTTATACAGATTTGAGACCTGTGATATAAGAACAACATTGTCCATATTTGTAACAAAAGGGAAGTCCAGCTATCCTATATGGTCGCAGGTAGCCTTTCACATGACACATTTTTAAATACAAGAAGAAACACTACTTCATGGATTCTTGAATACACTGTAGATTTGCCCCACCAGTCACCACTACAAGCATTCAAGTGCAAACCTCAATTCTCAGCAGAACACATTTCTGCAGAGCCATAATTTTCTTATTCTGTTTCAAAAATACAGGCAAGGTCCACTGATTCAATGGACAGTTTTACTTATGCAGTCTATGGTACTTCAGTTACTGACAGCTGCAGCCTAAATAATTCTTTGAATATGATGAAGAACATGCAGTTTCACGCTTACCTGCTACTACTGTCCAGTCAAACTATGTTGAGAAGAAGGGAACTGGTTTTTATTGCAGAAGCTAATTTATTAGAACAATTCTAATTCCCCTTTACTCACTCTAGAGCATAAAAACCTAAAAGTATATAATCCAAGTCTAACTTATACTCTTACAACACTCTTTAAAGAGGAAAAATACCTTTAATTGTTAGTCTTGCCATAATCCCAAACACACATGAGGAAAACCATGATTACCTGTTAACTCAGAACTTAGATCTAATTCACGTATTCATAAAGAAAATCTGTACAAGTCTTTCAGATGGTCACGCCAACATTTTGAAAAGCAGGTGCCTATGGTTAGGTATTTAGATGCATATTCAAGCATCTAAATGATTATTGAAAGGTACTTGAGCAGCTCTTAATTATTTCAGCTGTAGATTTTAGATACTCAACACTCCTTGAAGCCGTATCTTTTACTTAAGAACATATAAATCTATTAGTGCCAAAACATAAGCTTCTATTTACTAATTAAAAAAAAAAAACCACAAATCACCAACAAAACTGTTTCAACTTCATTGCAGCAACTTCTGGACCACTGGTGCAGAGGTGGGAAGATGGATCAATCACAACAATGAAATAAAATTTATCCATTACAAAAAAATTTCAATTTCACTAATATAATCCAGTTACAATTTTTTTTTAAAAAGTGAACACTTCAGCCAAGAACAAGATCTACCATTAAAGAGTCACCAAAAACTGAGCTACCATCACATTTCAAGAAAAGAATTCTTTACACAAATGCTAAATTTTAAGGGCTGGTCTATGAAATTTAAATTTTCTTACATGCATTGGATATAAATTGTACTGGTTTTATGGCAGCTTTTAAGCCTGTTAAAAATGAATCTCAGATAGCAATCTTTTGTTCTGGGTTTTTAGTTTAAAAACCAGTGTATCACGGGGATTTGGATTTCAACAAATTTTACATAATTTTATATTAAATAAGTACTAATAACTACTGCTACAATTAATTTATACTTGTTACTCTGAAATTTGGAAAAAAGGATATTTTAATACTTTTAATAGCAGATTAAATATAGTAAAATAGAGTTGACTCCCATTCAGATTTCACTTCATGGATCCACTGCCAGAAATACGAAAGCACTTCCTGCTACAGAAGCTGCTGGATGCCAGCTAACAGCAGAGATTATTGTCTTCAACTTTCATCCAGAGGACACAGATTGTAAGGGAAAAAACTAGAATTGCACATGGACAGCTTCCCAGATCATGTACAGATACTTAGTCATCAACCAGCTACCATGCACCATCTGCTTTATAAAAAACATCTGACCTGCAGCCACTTTGGTTCCTAGTTAAATTCACTGCAGGTCCAATACAGATTGGCAATCTACACAGAGCACCAATGTGTTAATAATAATACAATTTTTAAAAGCAACAAAGGACATGGATGAACAGGAATATCCCAACCTGCTGGGAAATGTACTAGCACATCAATCACTTACACTTACAAGCCATAAACACCTGATTCTTTTTGAAATCTCTACTCTTTCGTACCCATTCAAAGCCTCTTTTGAACAACATCATGCCCAGTCTGTCTGGAAGAATATACCCAATATAGCAACTACATACCTGGTATGCACTAGTAAAACAATTAGAGGTGCAATTAGAGCTGAAAAAACTAGTATGAGTGGAAGATAAGACCTTAAACTCTGAAGAAATTGCAATAGATAATACCTATGATAAAGAAAATCTAAAGCTTTCTGTGTCAAAACATCAGCACAAGCAGTTGTGAATCAGAATTTGAAACGCCTAACCTGAAAGCAAAATAAGACTCAGGAAAACAGGTTTACCTGTTGTAAAGAACTGTGGAAGACAACAGATAAACTAATCTGGCAGGGACATAATCAAAACCAAAACAATCACAAGGTACAAAAATCACAGCACTTTTTCACCACTCTGTTAGTCCAGGATGACTTTGACTCCCTGTAGTTCTTAATTCCAGAAGACTTCTCTTAACCAAATAGCAATGGTATCAATTTCTACGTATTGAGGAGCTGGAGCTTGTTACCCAAGTCGTACTTATTTTTGTTTAAGAAAACATATCTTAAGTATCTTTTTCCTAAGTGTTAAAGAATTACTGAAACAGAAACTCATTAATTTCTCCATTATTAAAGTACTTTACAGAAGTATTTGAGAGTGTATTCACAGAAGAATGGATTTGTCCAATGCTCTGCTTCTGCATATTTCCCTCAGAAATGGCAGAAAATACTCTGGAAAGCTAAACTACATCTGACTACAGATTATAAAGTGGTCACAAGAGGAGACAAAAGATAAACTGAAAGTTTCATCTATCTCATGTTATTTCAGGAAAAATTAGATGAACATGCTTTACAAATCTAAACCAGTCTGACTACTGCACGTACTTCTGGGACAACAGAGGCTCTAGCTTTTAGAATAAATTAACTATGGATAATCTTCAGAAAATAAATCTGGGAATAGGACACTTCATAACAGTAAACATTGACTCACAAACCTTCCAGTCTTTTCAATTTGGTGCTGCATCTAGAGAGTGCACTTGTCACTGGAATAACACAATCTCTTTGTAAAGATGCGGCAATTAAAGGAAGTAAAAATTACACATATAACTGGCTGTAAAAATAAATATTTATCATATTCTGACAATAGAAGTTTTACTTAATCTTCACAGCCATGTTGAATTGCTGCCAGTTGCCTTCTCTGTTCTTTCCATTTTGCATTTCTGAGCATATGCTATGCGGTTTGACAGGAAAACTATTTCCCCTATATTGAATAAAACCTTCAGCAGGCTACAAGTCTTGCAAACCGGTAACAGGACTGTTTTCCAGTGTTTGTGCAGGTACAGTTCCCTTCTTAAAAGAAAGATTCAACTCCAAATTCCTCTAATGCAGAGATGCTATCCCTTACGCGACTTAAAAATTTATGAAGAATTTATTGTTTTAACAAACTTTTAATCTTTTATTCCACTTATCCTACTTATAACAAAAACATAATCAAGTCTCTTATTTTGCAGATGTCCAGTTTTGGATAAAACTTTTGTAACTTACAGAAACTAAGTCCCATCTGATTGCAAATGCTTAGACAAGAGATACTACGCTTAAGTTCTCCGTCCAGTTAAGCACTGGTGACGCAATGAAGTGTAGCCCTCAAAGAAAAAAAAAAAACATATACACAGAAACTCAAATTGGATTAAATATATAAATGTTAAAATTCAATACAGACAAAAAGAATCTATTATTATTTGAAGCTCTGCAACTACCAGTTACAGATATCTGAAGGACTCTGGGTACCAAAACACACACACAGAAATTATGCAACAGAAGACTCAGCCCCTAACACCAAGAAATGTATTTGCAAAAGAAGTTAAATGTCATCTCTGGAACAGTATGGAAAGAGGGAAAGGGCAAGATACAACAGAAAAAAAACAGACCAGCTCCATCCCGACTGGCATATGAGTTAGAGCCAATAATATAAAGGTATTTGTCAAAGGTATTTTAAACTAGACAGTAACCAGAAGGATACAATAATTAACTTTGTGTTAAGGTAGAACTTTGAGATGTTGAGCCCTTGCTACTCCTTTCCAACTGCAGAGAGTCTGCAAGTATTCAACATCATAGGAAAAAACTACATCTTCAGAATTGATAATTCCAGAATATTAATTCCAGTAAACATACTTTTAATCATTCATACGCAGAAAGCTTAGTTTTACTTTATAAAATGTAATCCGTTACTTCAGAAGCATGTATCTGCTGCAAGCATCTTCCTTAAATGGCACATAGATGAAAACTTTACTGTAAACTGAAAAGCCAATGGTAACAGACAAACTTGCAGGGCATTTCAAGCAACAATACGAAATACACTCAGTTGCTAGCAGCAACAAACTTTCAGTCCTTCTAATTCAAGAATCAAGTTTTAAGGGTTTGTGGGTTTTTTTAAGTGACTAAATGCACTTTCAATTGCTTACCTTTAAATTTGATGTCAAGACCACTAAATTCCAATTCAACTCCTTGAAGTGCCTCTCCTAGGGTTTCATGGTAATGGCTGATGCTTTTTTTTGATCCCACACAGAAAGGAAGGGAGAAGTATTTGTATGTTTCTTGGCGATTGTGGTAGGGTCCTACTGTATTCATCCATAAAACAACTTCCTCTTTATCTTGGTACTGAAAAATAAAGTTATTGAGTTAGATGAGAAGCCCAGCAGAATAAAAATATTCAAGAAACTCTCATTCATATTAACTAGCAAGGTTAGTTCAATCACAGGCAACAGTTACATTTAAAGACAGTCAGGTATTTTTGTCTTTGTCTGGCAGGGATTCTAGGATAAGATTTTTCAGACTGCTTTCCCACAAAAAAAAAAGGCTTAGTTGATAATACAGTTTCTTAAAGCCTATCACTGAAGTATCAGAAGAGGGGGATTCATACAAATTTAACAGAGAAGCAGAAGATGCAGAGAGCAGAAGTGGAGAAAAGCAGAAGTCTCAAAAGTAAATAAGTTTTTACGATTTTTGTGAAACACACATTGGTTAAAAGTAAAACTCTACTCATCTCCACTGAGAGAAAGGAAGTATCAGACTAACATCCTGTCAAACAAGATCTTAGCAAATAAATCAGGCAATCTACCCATGGTAACAGATATACTGAATTTTCCTAAAACACAACTGCTTTTCATTTTTGTAATGGTATAAATTACATTTGAAATTCCCAGAAGAGCACAATGCCGCACCGGAAGCACTAAAATTAAACTGTGGCATACCTACAGTAGCCAAGAGACAAAAAAGTCAGACAGAAGGACTGTATTTTGATGCATTTCCAACATTCTCACAATGAAAAAACAGAACAGCAAGGATCTGGTGGCTGCCATGAAATTCTGTGGGAACATCCACCCTTCACCTTCCACAGCTACTGTTAGCCAGTAAAACTTATTCCAGTAATTTTTTTCAAGGCCTTATAACTTTTCAACAACAAAAAAGTCCTTAAAGCCATTCATCTATCAGTATTCAAATACTGCATGAATTCAGGAGAATTAAGTGATTTGAAATCATTACTTGCACTATATCGGAATGCATCTGGATAAGGTATCAGGTTTGCTGGTTACTACAAAGCCTCTCACCCAACACAACTCCTCCACCTACTACAATTTCAACAGATTAGGAGGGACAGTGATCTAACTTTTAAGGCAGGAAAAAACCCTGCTTATAACTGTACACACATGCAAGCACAATCACCATATAGATCCCAATTTTTTTTTAAAGTACAGAAGAATAAAGTACTATTCTAAAACCAATATGCAAACACAGAACACACTGGAGAGGAAAAGAAAGTCAAATGTTAATTAGCTGTAACTATTTCATAGAGCACAGCTGAAATACTGAATACAGTTCTGCATCTCCCTTTTTAACAAATGAACAGAGGCTTCAACTCCATTTATTCTGAATAACCACAGTCACACTGACAGGTTAAGTCAGAAATAATTGGTTACACATGGAATGCAATAAATTCTTCAGATGAGGTGTTTAAAAGTTAAACTCAAGGATTTAAACAAACATGCTTTGGAAAATAATTTAATCCCTTTATACTAACATGTCATCTCAATTACAAGCCTCATCTTTTTGTTTACAAAGATGCACAAGGGTCATTCCAGCCTCTTATGTGAGTGATCTCCAACAAGAAACTTTAAATATTTTACTAATCTCATTCTGAGCTGCAGCAGAGACCAAACACTTGTAAGTTTCACAAACCTGCCCATTTGCAGACCATATACTTCAGAACAATTCTGACAGGTAAAGAATGTCAATGACAGAGCAAAGAAAGAGTAAACAACACAGCAAGAGAAGGCAGACATTCCTCCCCTCTGCCAGCAACCAGCGCAGCACAGTTGTCCAACTTCACAGAAAGTTGGGAAAGAAGGAAGAAAGAAAGAAAAATCACAGTTCCAGCCCCCTCAGCAGCAGAAGCAGATAGTGGAGAATCTGCACTATGATATCACCTCTAGCTCTTGCCAATGTAGCAAGGGACAAGTTGCTCCATATCTCTTTCTAATCTGTTATGCCTAGCACGTCTTCTGTTTCTTCCTCTAGCAGCTGCAGAACATACTTTCAGCCCTTTCTCAAAATGGTCTTAACTTGTCAAGAGCCCAGTTTAGCATGCAACAGCTTACATTGAACCGAGCTACGTCTCTGTACAATCTTCAGTAATAGAATATGACAACATCCTTAGGTCTATGAATTCATCTTTGACAGTACCTGAATAAAGAAAGCACTGACCACTGCTTTACTTAGCTTCCTGTTTCTGACCTGCTTCATACTGTGTTGGGACCTCTGCGTTTTTGGAACTATACCAGATCACCTTCAAGTGACAGAAACCAACTTCTTAAGAACATATTATTCAAAATCTTGTTAAATTTTCTGATCCAAGAATGTAACTACATTGTAATTACAACATCTACAATAACAAATTTGGTCTTTGTTTGTCTTTTGTCTGCATAATGCTTAGCTCTCCTTCAGAGCCTACGAGGTTTTCCCACACTGACTCTGAGATGCCATCAGTCTGCTCTGGAGAGAAAAGGGACCAAACCAAACATAAGCAAAGAATTCAGTCTATATTTATTACTTCCTCCTTTCTCACAACCATCCCAGAACAGCACAAGAGAAAGCTGTTCAGGACTGCTACATAAATGAACACAGTACCTCAGCCATCCCAGGCTACACCTCACGCACAACCAGCAAGTCCCTAGTTATAGGAATTTGCAGTCCATCAGGTGCTCCCAGTGCCCTCCCAAATTAAGAGGGCTGTAAGAAAGAAACCCAGCCTAAGGAACTTCAGCTTAAATTTGGGGGTGGTGGTGGTGTCTAGTAGAAACTCAAACAGATTTTCTTCTCCCTACATTTATTGGGTTTTGCTCATTCTCAATTATAAAGATGAGCTTTCACGTTTAAATACGTTTCCCTGTCATGACATATCTCATCCTTATGATCTTACCCTAGTGGTAGGGTAATTTGGTGGCAAGAACTCAGTGCTATCAAAGAGTTCAAGTTTGTGGTGGTTTGGGTTTTTGGGGGCTTTTTTTTTTTTCTTTTTCATTACTGCCTTCACAATATTAAAGCATCTACAATAAATAACAGTGTCAACACACAGGAAAACAATTCTTATTTATGCAAGACAAAGAACTAGAATATCTTGTAGGACTGTTCTGTCACCTCTGTATGGGGATTTCTAGGTTCAGAGAAGGCCAACATACAACATACCTTCCAGCAAAAATGTCACACTATGAGAGAGATAACATAAAATAACTTGCTAAAGAAAGCCCTGGTTCCAAGGGAGGCACAGCACTCAGGTACGCTGTATCAGTACCAGTCAGATTTTGGTCAGCACATTCATCGCCAGTCTTGCAGTAGTTTCAACTGTTGTTATGGTCTTTTATAGCTTGTTTCAGCATATGTGGAGTCTCCTGCAAACTGTGGAGAACTCATAGCCATAGAAAACAGGAAGAAAATTTCAGCTCCATAGCACCACCTTTCATTCTTGGCAGAAAGAACACATTGAAGAAAATATTCTCATTTCATCAGGAACTGATCAGCCTTAGACACACTGGACAAAACAACAAAACAGAAGAACCCCAAATTCTTATTTTTACTGTTCTGATACTGGTTGATGAGCAACTGTTCAACTGTACCCTCTGAGCTTTGAACGCAACAGAGCAAATCCAAATCCTATTGCCTTCTGTTAACCCTAGCAGGCAAGTCAGCAATAACTCATCGTCAAAATCAACACGGAATAAGACAGGATGCGAAGAGTCCAATGGTCTCTTTCAAAAATTGTTATACAGCAATATAAAACTTGCATACTTGTAAGTGTGATAGTTTCCTTATCTTCTGCTACATAATCAGCAAGCAAAATATTTTGACTCATTGAGATTCCACCAGATCCCAGAAAACATGAAAAAAGTGTCAAGAACTCCCTACCAATACAGGTATGGAACAAACACAAGTGGAAGTCGACTACAATGAGCAAGAATATCCACGTCACATGTCCAGCGAGTTAAATTCGCCAAGAATAGCTGTCATCATAAAAGATCTAAATAAAAATTTCTTGCTCTCATTTCACGTATGATAATGGTCCTGAGCTACTATTTGACCCATCACTGCTATAGGACTTCTAGAAAAGAAACAAACATATTCCTATTACAGCTGTATCTAAACTGCTGAAGCTTGCAACAGGGACAAGTAGTAATGAAGTAGCATGTCAAATGGTAAAATAATTTTAAGTAAAATTAATGATCTGCAGGGTAGACGCCAGATAATTTGAGTGACGTAAATCTAATATCTAGAGGTACACTTATGCGTCAATGCAATTTTATCTTTATCCCTTATGAAAACAAGTGCCAAATGTCTTCCTAACATGAAGGACTTATTTTGCTGTACTGAAGTACTGCTATTTCAGAAATTCTTTTTAGTTCTTCATTCTCTTTCCTGACTTGTTTGCACAGAATTAGATAGTGGAAAGGCAGCTTTTCATATGCCAGAAGATGGACACCAGTGTCCTGTTAAGAACACAGTTACTGACAAGGCAAAAAAGGTCAATAAATAAGACGCTGCAAGCCCTACCCTGGTATACCTCAGCAAGCTCTTCTGGTTTTGGTTCATATGAAGGGACAATATACTGCATATAGCTCAGAGATCCTAATAAAATTCACAGACACAACCATTTAACAACTTAGTAACGGTGCCAGAATTCACAGAGCTCGCTACTTCCAAATATGAGAGAAGACCACAAAACACCATTTTAAATACCTTTTACTCAGTATAATTTAAGAAAAATGTAGTACTCATTCTGTAAGCACAGCAAGCTTGGCTTTGCATCTTTTTCTGCACTAAGCTTGTTTCAGCTCAGTAATTTCAGTAACTCTATGGAGTATATAATGATCTATTTCAACTGTGCAAAAACACACCAGCAGCCTGAACAAGTCTCAGCATCAACACAAGTTACCTACCATATGCTGGTACAATCTGATTAATGGGAGGTAAACCTTCAGAAACTTTTTTCCGTATTTGCCACCCAGGTGGTGGAGGACCAATCTGCACCTCAAGTGCAATCACGTATTGGCTACAACCCTCATCACAGCTGGGGACATCTGTTCCAAAGCAGCACAATATGG